GGCCAGGGCAGAGGGCTCCCCACTGCTGCACACACTCCTGGAAGGGACATGGAAGATGTGCCCCCCCAGATTTGTGTATGGGGTGGGCTGCCCACTGTGGGCTCAGGCTCCCTGCCCTGTTGCTCTCCCCACAGGCCATTGTGGCCCAGTGGGCAGGACCTGGTGCAGCAGGGCAGAGTGGGGTCAGGCAGGGAAGCTGCTTGCCTGGCAGCAGCAGGGGCAGTGGCATGTTATGCCCCTCGCTGCTGCCGAACGGGTAGGGGGTGCCTCACCAGGGTGGTGCAGGGCTTGCAGTGGCAAGGAGCTTCCCTACTCTGCCCTGCCATGCTGGGTCTTGCCCACTGGGCTGCAAAGGCCTTGTGGGGGAGGGCAGCACAGAGGGGAGCCCCGAGCCTGCAGCGGGCAGCCTGCACCTGGCCCCCCATGGGCTCCGCTCCGGCCGTGTTACCCACAGGGGAAGGGGAGCCAGGATCCACACTCCACTCTGCCCCAGCAGCTGCTGTCTCCCGCAGGCAACAGCTGGGACTTGGGTGCTGCTGTGGGGACAGGGACTGTGGACCTGGGTCCCTGGCCTCGTAGCCCTGGCATCTGGAGGCCGCCTCTGGCAGGGTTGGGGGAGGCAAGGGCTGTGGCTAAGGAGTAAGGGGCCCCAGCAAGGCTGGGGGGCTGTGGTTGGGGAGTGAGGGGCTCCAGTAGGGCCCAGGAAGCTGTGGGTGGGGAGCAAGTGGCCTGGACCTGTGTCCTGGTGAGCTAGGAGGACAAGGGGAGCTCTAATTTTCCATGATAAAAACCCAAAATTAAATACCAACATTTATAGGTACTTAGAAATTATTTTATTATAATAATTGCAGTATTGGCAGGCTTGCTTTAAAATTGTAAATGTATCAATAAAACATTGTGCTCAATTGAGATATATATATATATATATGTAGTGATGTTTCATTTTAATCACAGATTTGGGGGTTTTAATCAGAGAATTTGTGATTTTTAAACAGAGAAAACCAGGATCCTTGCTGAACACTAGTGGCAGCTATATGACTGAACACTAGATGGCAGTTGAACCTTGGAAAAAATACTATGAAGCAGGAGGTTATGTTTTCAAATACTGGTTTTATTTTCTGTTCCAATGTATTGAACCAATGGTATTGGATGGATTTAAGAGCATTTCTGACAGGCATTTGAAATAGTCATTCAAACATTTCAGCATTTGGACTGCATGTATTTCTGTGGAACCTGAAAAATATAGTTCTCTTGTAGCAGCAGCATAACACCACTTAAATTTGCTTTTAAAAAGGTACATCTGGAAAGATAAAGATATTTATTTGCAAGTAGTCAAATCTTAATCTAAAAATAAGAACCACTTCAGATTTACACTGAATGAGCAAAACCTGCCAAGATAGAAGCAGGCAGAGCCGTCCCTAGGGGTGTGCAGGGCCCAGGGCATATCAGCCTGTGCAGGGCCGGGGGGGTGGGGTGGTGACCACCCGCAGAAGCTGGCAGCGGTGGCATCTGTGGTGGCAGGGGGATGGGGGGCGACCACCTGCAGAAGCCGGTGGTGGCAGGGTATGTATGGCACTGTCCGCGGGGCCCCCCAAAGCACCAAGCCCTGGGCACTCATCGCAATTCTCTCCCCCGCTCCAGGATGGTCCTGGAAGCAAGAACACAACCCAAAAATAACTGCTGCCTTTGCCCCCATACTGAAAGGTAGCAGTAATATAAGCTCTTTTTATTTCTGCAACATTATACAAAAATTAACAGAGCCCAGTTCATAATGATTCACAGGTACATACATGTTAAACTGCTTAGAGATCAATAGATAAATAATTACCCCAAATTAGGCTGGAGTGAGTTAACCCTGCCTACTGACTTTGTCTGTACCTGTTTTTCCTCGTTCTCATGAGGCTATGCCAGGACTATGTCACTAAGGTCAGCTCTCTCACTACAAAGCAAGTTATTCCCCTTTCCTATGTTCTGTTCTCTAGAAGTACAAGACCTTGCAACTTCTGGAAGAATTTGTCGGCAGCTGTTTGAGAGCTATTGAAGGGAGAGATGCTAAACTTCTCCATTCAGACAAGCACGCACCACACATGCCACACGTGCAGGCATTCCCCACCCTGCTAATTTGCAGTGTGTGTGTATGGGAGGGGATGAGAAAGGAGATCCCGGTGTCAAAAAATCGCACACGTAAAAAAAGCAGGGCGGTGCACATGGTGGCAGTGCACACTGTCCAAAACCGGAGTGTGGCTGTCTGGAGTCATGCTCCAGCTGCTAGCCAGGCTCCCTGCTGCAGGATCATCAGTGCTGCAGCCCCTCAAGGCCCCCAGGATCCCGGGTAAGGCTGCTGGGGCCAGCCCAGGTGCTGGGCCAAGCCTCCCCTACCCCACCCAGGGTAATGTGCCGCACCTGTACAGAGGTTTCTCAGGGACAGCATACATTATGCTGCTGCTCTTTGTCCCCAGGGAAATGCACGTTCCTGCTTGTGGGGACGCACCCCTTAAGTCTATGTCTCCATAGTGTCTGAGTGGAAGAGGGGCCAAAAAGAGTTGGTTGCTGTTCCTTGATCCTAATTGCCCAGCCCTGACTGTATTAAAACTACTGAAGAGCTCCTGACCTCATGCCAATGGGGAATCAGCATGGTGGAACTCTGTACTACCACGACTTTTCTCTTCCCAATTAGCTTTCCATATACCATACTCTTATTTGTGAGGGTGACAAGTAGCCCAGGTGGCAGCTATGCTGTCCTTACCAGCTTTCCATAAGCAGCTGTAAGTTATTCAGTAGATAGTTGTGGCCAGTTTCTGTCTACTAGTTGTATGTCAATTAGTGAGGTGGCAAGAGCTGAACCAGGTAAGAAAATAAATCAAAAAGGTTTTACTAGCCATTACAATCTGTCAAAATAAATGAATGAAAGCTCCCTATTACTGCAGCTTTGCACTCACTTCTTATGGGCAAATAACCAAGAAGTATCTGCTGGCTTTGCCCCCATACTGAAAAGTGGCAGTAATACAAGCTGATGTTTTTACTTCTGCATCATTATACAAGTAATTATGAGTACCATTTTGAACTCTCAAAGCAACATTTAAGAGATAGCAGCGGTTAAAAATGTCAGAGGTTCCTGCTTCAATATTTACTCCAGTGTAATTAGCAAATATATTAGCACTATAGGAGCAAATTGTATTCCACTTCACCTGTGCACTTCAATTGGCTCAGTATCTTTAAATGCAATTGACAATGACAAAGTACTATAACAGAAAGAGGTTAAAAGCCCTCATTATGGAGATACTTTGCTCTTAATTGCTCTTTTTTGTTGAAGGCAGAACAAACACTAATGTAATGATTCCCATCAACAGCCACTTACATCTTGGAAATTGCAAAACACTGGCATTCAATCCAACAAATGTCAGTTAAAAGAGAAAATGCATTTTCCGCTAGCCTGTACTGCTATAGAATCATAGAAAATTAGGGTGGGAAAGGGCCTCAGGAGGTCATCTAGTCCAACCATCCATCTTATCTATATAGTTAACTTATGGGGAACTTTGCTTTTCATCTTTTCGTCTCAGTATTTAAGTGAGCAGATAGGAGAATCTGTAATATTTTTTTCTGTTCCCCTGCATATGGGTATTTGAATGTATAGGCCTACCAACTACCAACACATATAACCATTTGAAACTTACAGAAACACTAGCCTAGTTCTATACTGAACTCACCCCTCCAGCATCAGCAGGCCACCTTACCAGTATTATTTAGCCCTTCCTTCTTAATTTAGGGTGAACTCTTCAGTATAGCTCCATTGAAGTCAATAGAGATGTGGCAATTTAAATCAGCTGATGAGAACTGTGGTGGTTCTTGCAGACCCACAACCCTGAGTTTGGTGCTTGGGCTCCCTTTCCCCTCCACTGAGGAGAGTTAGGCACCTAAGAATATCATCTGCAGAAACCAGCACACTAAATGTGGAGTGGAAGCTATGGCATGTTGCAAATTTTGTCCTTTTCAAGGGGCAGATCCAAAAAATGACTTGAAAGAATTTAGGTACCCAAGTCCAAAGCTACTGTCCTGAAAACTGTGCTTAGCTGTTACCTACATCTGTGCGCTCTGAGAGTGCCTACTGGAGCGAGCCCCTCAGGGGAGTTAGGCAGACGATGGCCTAGTTTCTGACTAGGTGTAGGTGTTAGGTAGGTGCCAATTTTCTCTGCCCTCTCAAGACTGGAACAGTTCTGAGCATTTGCAGACACCTTAGTATATTGACCCTAAAGTTTCCAAGGTGCTTATAGTTCACCTTCTACACATGTCCATACATGCCTCAAGATTGCCAGTGCTGAGCAGCTCAGCCTTTACCTTATATATAAATATGACAAGTAGGTACCTACTTAAATCAGAGTTTTGCAAAATTCATGGAAATTGTAAAAAGCGGTGGTTTCTGCAATCACCACAAAAAAACCACATTTCCCACAACATTGTGTGGAATTGGCCCCCCAAAAATAAAAGATTACCAGAATAAAAAGAAAGTGTGGGAATCCCTGCAGCCATAGAGGACATGGTTTGAGAAAGAGCTACTGAGCTGGAGCTAGTGAGACAGACTCAGTGAAGGAACCAGTCAGACAAACAAAAGGGTTTCTTTCAGCACCATCTGTTAAAAAGCCAGATGCAAGGCTGCAGCAATGCTACAGTCTGAAGCTAAGTGATTGGCCTCTTGGCCAATCAGCACTGAGAGGCAGGGCTTCTGGGCCCCTCAGCCAATCAGCACCATGGAAAGGCCACAAAATCATCTCTGCACACTGTAGGGAGCCTGCAAAAATCTGTCTCACCATGAGTTAGGTAGGTCCCTAATGATGATGGTCGAGAAACTAAACATTCCTCTAAGTCCTCCGAAGGGTTTGGTGTAATAGGCAATCTCTAAAGATACCTGTGGCAGAGCACAGGGTGTCTCTGCCACTTTAAGGGCCTGGAGCTGGCAGCCTCCAGGTGCCTGATTAGGGCAGCCATTTTGAGGCCTAGGCTGCCTATATAAACAAGGCAGTTCGGCTGCTAGAGGCCAGACAGCAATATTGCCTGGCTGAAGGGCTGCTGCGAATGACCTGGAGGTAAGGGGGAGCTGCAAGGGGTTGGCAGGAGGGTCCGGGTCCGGGTCCGGGTCCGGGTCCTGCACCCTGCCAGGAGTGGGTGGTCTGGTGGGGCTCTCAGTGGTGCGGGAGCCTCCAGGAAATGCCAGGCCAGTGATCACCCCGGTGAAAGGCGGGTCGGAGCGCCCTAACCCCTAGCTCCCACCACCGGGTGGGTAACCCTATGTTGGAGGGGCCTAGAGAGCAGACCCCGAGAGAGTGTATGGAGTACAGGGCGTGGTGCTGCGGTTGCCCCTAGGAGAAAGGGGAGTAGTGGCACGGTGAGGCCCGAGGATGAGAGAGAGGGGCTAGAGACCCAGCCCGAAGGAGATAATACCCTCGACTGGCCCATGCTGGGGTCAGGACCAGAGAGGGTCAAAAGGGCCGGGGGCCCACCGCGAGGGATGCCCAAGAGCCGGGGGCCTGCAGTCCCGACTGGCCTTGAGGTGGGCCAGGGCCAGGTAGCCAAAGGTTCTGGGGGAACCACACCCGAGAGGGGACCAAGGCTTCAGGGGGGCTAGGTAGCCCAGATGAAGGCGGAGAGGCCGCCTGATCAGGAGAGATCATAGTGGGGTCATATAGGATGATTCTGGGGCCCAGCGTAGGGCCGGTGATAGTGTTAACACCGAGATGCCATCTGCGAGGCTTGAGCTGTGGTATTAGGGGAGGTTGGAGCTGCAGAGCGCCCCCTGGCATCGGGGCACTACAATGGGCAGCCTCCCGCTTAATTGACATTGATATACGAATCAATTATCATCAAAGGCGTGGCGGGCGAGATAAGTGGGCGGTTGCCCAGAGACAGGTGGGCGGGCCACGAAGAGCTTGGCCCTGAGTAGGCCTCCTGTCACGGTGACAGGTGGGCGGGCCACAGAGCTCGGCCCCAGGAGGCCCCCTGTCACAATGCCCAACACTCATGAACACAGTAAAGCTATGCACAAAAATGTTGTGCTAGTCACCATTACCAGAGTAAGGGCTCCTCTCCCCCCCCCTTTCATAGGACAGTCTAATCAGTTGCATAATTAGGGGGATGAGTGGGGCACCAGCCCCAGGTGCTGATTCAAAGGAAGTACCAGAATGGCAGCTTCCAGGGAGCCCACACCATCACCACTGTTCAGGTTGCTTGCACTGAGAGGGCAGCACTCTGTGCCACCATCACAACTGTAGCAAGCCTTGTATGTGGAGAGATAAATGGTTACTTTTCCTCTAACCCTTTCTCCCTCCTCACGCTGCCCAGGGTGCCAAAATTTCAAGTTGTACCTTTGAATCTAGTGTTTAGAGCGCTGCCCAAAACGTAGGAGTCCTGGGTTCAGTGCCTCTCTGTTTGTTTCCAAGCCCACATCACCTAGCTCTCAGAAGAGTAACCTCACCACCAGGTCATAGGAGCCACAAGTCAGCATGTGTTAGGTATGCTCTGAGATTGTCTACTGGATAGAGCCCCTCAGGGGAAGTAGGCAGAGAAAGGCCTACTTTCTGGGTTTTGAATGGCTTTAGGAATGAGGAAGGCACCCAGCTGCTCAATTGTCGCCAGACTGGGGCAGTTCTAGTTGTTTGCAGAGGCACAGCTCTTAGCACATGGGAAATTTCAAGTAAAAAAGCCAGGCACCTGTGGAAGAGGCAGCAGTAAGACAGATTTTTAGGGTCAGAATTTCAGACTTGGGCACAAAATTTTGCCCATATCTCACTTTTAGATGCCTAACTCCTGTATTAGATCTGGTGGGTGGGCAGAACTGCTGCTGCCCAGCAGCATTAGGCATCAGCTGTGGACCTGGTCAAGACTTCTGCTGCAGTGTGTGGGTAGTGGCATCAGCTGTGGATGCTGGTTCAGGAGCCTGGATGCAGACCCTGCCAGCAGCATCCACAGCTCACCCACTGCCCTCCTGGCACAGTGGGAGCCCCCACCCAGAACCTGCCAGTGGCATCAGATGTAGACCCAGGCAGGAGCTGCTGCCATACCAGGTGGGCAGCAGCATCGCTCTCTGTTTCTCTCTCCCCCTCCTTCCACCCCTCCCTCCAAAACCCTGCCAAAGTTGTAGTTCACCAGGAGCCCTGATGCTCAACTGTGGACCCAGGCAGGAGCTTCTGTCATAGCAGGCAGGTGTCAGCATCAGCTGTGACATTGCCAGCAGGTCCACAGATGAGCATCAGGGCTCCTGGCAAACGACAGCTTTGGCCAGGTTCTGGAGGGAGGGGAGATGGATGTGGCCCTCAACGGGTCCCCAAAACTCATTAAGTGGCCCTCCAGTCAAAATAATTGCCCATCCCTACATTAGAGGGACTCCAGACCTCGTTACACATTACACTGTGAGCAGCACAAATGTTGATCTTCTTAGTGCTAGCTTTCAGTCACAAGGTCAACTCAAGCAGCACATCTGTGGGGAGTGGCCACACATTAATAGAACAGATACTGGGTAGTGCAGATCAAAAGATAATCCTGCCCTGGAGTGAGGTAATTTTGAGCTGCATAGTGAGTACTTGAAACCACTTAAAGGTGTTAACGTGTGGACAATCCAAGGGGTTAAGAGCTCTAGGAGCCACCCAAAATAAAACATGTAGCAAGGCCCTCAGTCTTCTGATTTTTAAATGTGTTATGCCCCACCCCCAAAAGGATTTAGTAAATCATTGTGATGCAACACCATCATTCTTGCATTTATAAGAAACAGATAAATTAAGTGGAAGTTCGTTAAATATATCTTCAAATATCATCAAATATATTTTCTGCCAAAAGTATCAGGTCTAAGACACCAACATAGATTTCACAGAATCATAGAAAATTAGGGTTGGAAGGGACCTCAGGAAGTCATCTAGTCCAACCCCCTGCTCAAAGCAGGGCCACCCCCAACTATATTATCCCAGGCAAGGCTTTATTTACCCTGGTCTTAAAGACTTCCAAGGATGGAGATTCCACAGCCTCTCTGGGTAGCCTGTTCCAGTGTTTTACTACCCTCCTCACGAGAGAGTTTTTCCTAATATCTAACCTAAATGTCCCTTGCTTCAATTTGAGACCATTGTCCCTTGTTCTGTCATCTGCCACCATTGAGAACAGTTTATCTCCATCTTCTTTGGAACTCCCCTTCAGGTAGCTGAAGGCTTCTATTAAAACCCTACTGTCTCCTTTTCTCTATACTAAATAAGCCCAATTCCATCAGCCTCTCCTCAGAAGTCATGTGCCACAGCCCCCTAACCGTTGTTGGCTTCCAACTAGACATCGAGCCATTGACTACTACCCCCTGAGCCTGATGATCCAGCTAGTTTTCTATCTATCTTACAGTTCATTCATCCAACCTGTACTTCCTTAGCTTGCCTGCGAGAATCTTGTGGGAGACCATATCAAAAGCCTTGATAAAATCAAAGTACACCACATCCACTGCTCTCCCTGCACCCACAGAGCCAGGCACCTTGTCATAGAAGGTAATCAGGTTGCCCTTGGTGAATCCATGCTGACTGTTCCTAATTACCTTCTTCTCTTCCAAGTGCTTAAAAATAGATCCCTTGAGGATCTGCTCCATGATTTTTCCAGCAACTGAGGTGAGGCTGACTGGTCTGTAGCTCCCTGGATCCTTCTTTTCCGCTTTCTTAAATATGGGCACTATATTTGCCCTGTTCAAATTGTCCAGAACCTCTCCCAATCACCATGAGTTTTCAGTGATCACCAGTGGCTCTGCAATCACATCAGCCAACTTCTTCAGCACCCTCAGATACACTGCAACCAGCCCTATAGACTTGTACACATCCAGTTTTTCTAAATAGTCCCTATCCTGTTCTTTCACCACTGAGGGCTGCTGACCTTCTCTGCAAACTGTGCTGCCAGGTGCAGTGGTCTGGGTGATAACCTTGCCTGTGAAGACGGAGATGAAAAAGGCATTAATTACTTTAATTACTTCAGCCTTTTCTGCATCCTTTTCTTTCCTCCTCCAAGCAGCTAAGCTGCATACAAATACTTTTATGGCAAACATGTAGTGTAATGCATACAGGTGTCTTACAGAATGAATTTAGCAAAAGATCTGTGTGATAGTGTCTTCTTTTTTTTAAAGGGAGGGTCACCTGTTTACTGGGAATTGAAGTGAACTTATTACTGTGGAGCCTGAATGTAGCACTTTACTTAATGGGAGCTTTTTCTTTGACCAAACTGTTGCAACAGCAAAACCCAGCACCCCAGTCCTACTAAGATGTATGCACATACTTGATTTTAAATTTGTTTGTTCCCACTAAATTCAGATGTGTTGCACATTTTTTTAAAATTCAGTACACATACAGGTTTTTTGCAGGTGCAAGGTCTTATTTCACAGACCAGGGTCTATATGAAATCACTCAGGCTTTGATTCTATTTAAAATTAATATAGTGGTAGTATCTAAAGATCCATCACACTCAGTGCTGTGCAAATATATAATACCTTATAGTCCCCACCCCATGAGCTAAACTTTTATTTTGAAGATTGTAGTAAGTGGAGCATAGAGTAAGAGTGAGCACTAGAAAACATTAACATTATTATTTTTATTATTAACAACAACAATACTACTACTACTAAAAGGCAGCCATTAGAAGCTCTGATCCTCCAGTGGGCACTGCAATGAGTACCACTTAAGCGGTTTCTGCATCCATATAGAGGAATGCCAAGACTAAGGCCTTGGTGGTATTGTTATCTAGTCTGTGTATCTAACATATTGCAGAATGTCACAGAGCTCCCTTGAAGCCAGTAGCAGCTAATCTCTGTAGCATTTAGGCCCTGAATAAACAAAGATCTCACATGCAGCTTTATCTTTCCCAGGCTACTTCTATTATATTTATGGTTTGTTTGTTTGGTTGATTTTTCTTTAAGAATGTAGAGCATTCCCCCAGCACTAGAAATTGCTTTTAAATGTGTATATTAAGAGAACTGTTTTTGTAAGGATGGTGGAGACATTGAAATGAAAATGCTTTAAACTATCACATTTCCTTTGTCTTCACTGAAAGAAAATGAACCATACAAAAATGGAGAACAGAA